CCAACTCGTAAATATAGTACAAATAAATAATAATTTAATTTAAAACATGTCTTCAAATTCAAAATCACAATAAACCGAGCAGTATTAGCAAAAGAGTTATCATTATAAAATCAGATATTTTAAAATAAGGTCCATGTCACCAAAATAAAGTCAACTTGCCAGATAAAAACATTACAATCTGATTTACTTCAAGAGATATGTTGATCCTCCAAGTGCTCGAACCAAGGTATCTAACCAACAGTATCTGAAAGGGGGAAAACATTTTCAAAAGGTGAGCTAGGCTCAATGTGTCCCAACATTTCCATAAAATCACAATAGGTACAAATCATAGTCCAGTAATCTCACAAATTCGTAAAAGAGTTTAACTTTTTGAAAATCATAGTTTAAACCCTTTTCTTGTACACCATCAGTAGTTCCCAAAATTATTTTCCATATAGCTTACTTTATGTACATAGAAAAAAGAAAGCCGACTTAAGGATAGGCTATGAAGCTTGTATCCTTAAGCCCAAGTCAATAAGTCCATATAGCTTACCCTAAGCACACAGTAAAGGAAAGCCGACCTAATGAAACATCTTGGGGCCCTCAAGAGTCACATTAGGCCCAGTTAGCTTGATCAGAGCTATTCCATCGTAATTCAATTCCAAAATTCAATTGCACCGTGACATAAATTCCATAAATCCAAAAACATGGTAATCATATACCATTTCAAAACAAAAATTAGATAGCAGCCATATTCCATAAATTGTCACATTAAATTGGTGCATCCATAAAACAATAACCAATGAATTCGGTGTACCACATATTAAAACCAATAAAACAGTTCAATAAAACAGTTTTCGAATGGGTGAATACTGGCACACGTGGTTTAACTGATCTAGAAGAGCTGGGTCGAGCTGTCGAACGATCCGGAGAGTCTCTTGTACCTTCAAACAATAATATTTATCAGTCTCAAATCCTATTTAATTGTTCAAAGCTAAACTTCTTAAGTATATACACATTTTTTTGGTTTTGACTATCAATTTGAGGTATTTCGAGTCTGAATTTGGCCAAACGGATTGCGGAATCGGAATCAGGGCGTCGAAAAACATAAAGTATGACTTTACGAAAATTCAAATTCTTGGTCAAAGTCAAAGTCAACCACTTTGACCATAGATTTGGAGACCTTCGGATTTGAATTTGACAAAACGGACCACGGAAACGGATTCGGCGCGTCGAAAACTATCAGGATAGGTATACTCGGAAAAGATTAACGGTCGTTTAATGCTCGGTCAAAGCCATTTTAAGTTTTGGTCAAAGAAAGTCAACGGTCAACGGTCAACGGTCAACGGTCGGGTCGGGTCAACGGTCGGGTCGGGTCGGGTCAGACGGGTCAAATCGGCTCAGACCGGTCAAACCGGTTAAACCGGTTTCCAGCAGCCACTCGCCCTGCGGCGGCGCGTGTGGCGCGTGAGGCGTCCTCCGGGGTCCTAAAAATCCCGAAAAAATTTCTAAAAATTATTTTGAGCGATTTCGAGATACTTACAACGATCGGTTCAAATTTTTGAACGGCGGAGAGATCGATTTCAAATCGGCCGAATCTTTGACTGCACCACCTCCTCACGCGTCGCCGTCTACGGCGGACAAGGTTGACACCGGTGAACTCGGAACGGCACAAGGAACACGATGGTGCGGGAGGTGTCGTAAACAGAGCAACGATTAGCGGTGAATTTAAGATTTTCTCGGCGATAGAGCTAACAAAACCGTCGCTACTTTGACTGGAAATTCCCGACGTTTGGCCGCGTTTCGCTTCAATTAATTTGAAGAGTTTGCTCCTCGCTCGATGATGAACACAACGGTGGTTTCAAAACAACGATCGGAATTCGGACGGCGTCGGAATCGAGTTTGGAAGTTGTGCGCGTGAGGAAGGATTTGTGAAATTGATTTCTGTTTTTCAAAACAAAAATCACGCATATAACAATTGTCTGCCGACACTCCATGGTTAAATTCAGGGCTTGGTCCCTGAATTTTCTTTAACTTTAAAACAAGCTCCAAGTTTTAAAATCTTTCAATTCAGTTCCAAATTTTCGCCAAATTTTCACAATTAAACCCTCCAATTTTAATTAAATATTATTTTGAAAATCGGGTTGTTACAGAGATAGGACTTTTACCAGTTCTTTTTGGAAAGAACTACTGAAGCAGTTGGGCACTCAGACAGTTTTCAGCACTGCTTACCATCCAGAAACAGATGGTCAAACAGAAAGAGTTAATCAATGTTTGGAGCAATATTTGAGGGGTTTTTGTTTCTATCAACCTAAGAAATGGGCTAAATGGCTATCACAGGCAGAGTGGTGGTACAATACCACTTATCACATTGCTATTAAGCATACTCCATTTCAAGCTTTATATGGCTACAAACCACCTATTATGGTTTGATCTACTGATACTACATTACAAACAATACAGAATATGGTCACAAATAGAGGACAGATCAGACAATTGGTGAAACAACAATTAGAAGTGGCTAGTAATCGAATGAAACAACATGCAGATAAGAGAATATCATAAAGGGTTTTTTCTGTTGGAGATAGGGTTTACCTGAAGCTACAACCTTATCGGCAACCTCAATTGCTCTGCGAAAAAACCTCAAGTTAGCAGCCAAGTATTATGGTCCATATACAATTAGAAGCTTCACCAGTGTTTCATGTGAGCCATTTGAAGTTCATCGGGGACTCTTCCACTGCCGCCACAAATCCTCCTGCAGTTGATGAGGACGGACAATTAAGTATAAAACCTTTGAAGATTATGGGTAGGCGTATAATCAATTGACACAATTGACCAGTTACTCAACTTTTGGTTCGATGGACGAATTTGGATGCTTCGAATGATACCTGGGAGGACTATTCGGTTCTCAGGGGGCAGTTTCCTGTTTTTGATCCTTGGGGACAAGGCTCGTCTCGTGGGGTGGGTATTGTTAGATTCGGAGGAGAAGTCGGAGGAGAAGAGGGAGAAATAGGAGGAGAAGAGGAGGAACGAAGGAGTGAAGAGGAATTGGGAAGAGAATAACGAGGGTTAGGGATTATGGAGAGTGAATTGGGAATTGAAAAGAAAGAGGGAATTGAGGGAATTGAAGCGGGAATTGAAGAAAGAGGATTACCTGATGGGTTGAAGTCAGCTACAGCGATCCAGAGCAAAAGGAAGTGGCCCAACCAGGACGGCCCAGGACCTGTAATAGCCAAAGCATGATACATATCAGTTTGTTAGGAGTTTGTTAGCAGAGAATGCCAGCTGGCAATTGTTAGATTCTCTGTACAGCCTGTATCTAAATAAAACTACTGTGTAATCACATTTTTGGGAGTAGAAATGAATGTATGAACTTTTCTTCTCTCTGAATTCTTTCCTATCCTCTCAAACTCTATCGAATTCTTCTCTAATTTTCTTCAGTCCATAACATGCATCCACATCTTGGCACCGGGTGCTGCAAATTCCTGATTCTGCTGCTACATTAGATGATAAGGGCCACCGAATTGCGGAGGTAGTAAGAAAGACAGTAACAGAACACATTTTCGTTTGGAGCCCTGGATCAGACTTTGCTTTCTGCGACTGTGCATGGTCGATGCAAGGAAACTTTTGCAAGCATGTCATCAAGGTTATTCAGGGAGATATTGATGGATCTTAGGAAGAAACCAATGGACGACTCAATTAGTTTAGATGAGTCAGTTACCTGGACTCACCAGATGCTTGACCAAATCAAACAACTTGTTGAACTGAAAGTCAAATGATATTGGCGTTGTGGTAAATAATATGCCTTTGAAATGGGTTTCTAAGAAGGGAAGAACATTTTTGTTGGTATACCAGCTTCCCTTCCAGCTCTTACATCTAGTTCCAAGAGCACTGCAAAGAATTTGCAGAAAAAAAGGAAAAGGAAAAGACTATCAAGATTGAGATGATGGTGGAAATTGTTTCATATAGGACGTCATTTAGCCAACTTTGGCCTCTTTGGGGTGGGAAGCCACCATTTGAAAATATTGTATGTTTCCATGTTCGATAACATCAATAACTCCATTGCTTGTAGCATGAGAAGCCAAACTATTCTTTAAATAGAATGACTGTATGAACAACACCCATGCCAATATATTCATTTCAGAGGAAAATTCAGAGATATGTCGACATGTTCATTTTGATTCCACCACTCATCTTGAAAATGAAGGTATGCATCTATCAATCTACCCATGTTTGGAACTCGAGTTTTGGTCTTTACTTTCTCGGGCGACTCCTTAGTAGAGGTGTAAATGAACTAAATTTGACAGAATAAAATTGTGCTCATGTTCGTTTGTTTATTTGAGAAAATATTAATGTTTGATTCGTATTCATTTAATTTTTTATATTGTGTTCGTTTGTTTGGTTTGTTTATTTGAGAAGGTATTAATGTTTGATTCGTATTCATTTAATTTTTTAGTATTGTATTCGTGTTCGTTTGTATAGTGTTCACAAACATATTCATTAATATTCATGAACATATTCGTTTAATATCCGATAACCAAAACTCTCCTTGTACCTTTATATTTGCAAGCCAAAGAAAAATGATTAAATTACACAGCTAGTACTTAAATTACTTGGACTAAAGAGTTTAAACTTCAAATTTTATTTTATATTCAATTTAATCACCATCTTCACCGATATTTAAAATGTAAAATAATAAAAGAAAAATGACAAGTAAACACACATATGCATGTCCATTTGTCTATTAAATGAACATAAAAAATGTTCATACTAATTTAACTTAATAAACAAACGTTATATGAACAGTTCATTGAATGCTCTTTTCATTTAGATCCCTAACTCTTATGTATATTTTTTTTCCAGGGAAAACAGAGTGAAGCGTAAGGCATCTTGCCAACGGATCCATGACTCACTATTTTTATCGAGAAACAATTATAAAATCATGAGTAAATATCATACAATATATGAAATTCTTGCAAGATAATTATACAAGATATGTAATTCTTGCAAGCACAACTGAATTACGATTGAAATGGTCACTGTTATAGGTTTAAATGAAATGAGCATTCAGAGACATAACATTAACAAATTTATTTGAACTGAAAGGCTTTTTCCAAGACAAAATAAAAGACTTAAAGGACATAAAAGGGAACCCAGCTGCCCCCACTGCCCTCATAGAAAGTAAAACAGAACACTTAAAAGTAAACCTTCAGCGCAAGAGCTTATATTGATTTTTGCTGCCACAATGTCTCTGATAGCAGAGCATATTGATAGTGGTTCGGCTCACACCATTGCAAATCTGGTGACTGGGGTATCTTTTAAAGGTACTTCATCATACCACGACCTTCAACACTAAGTTTAGTCGCCTGCAACTGCTTCTTTTTAGGAGCTTTCAACTGCTGTAACTTCTTATTCATCTGCCATGAAAAGGTTGACGTTAAATTTCAGATAATATATAATGGATATATCAATTTGTATTAAGCAAGATGGAGATTTAAGGAGCATCCAGAGTAGTGCAATGTTATGGAGTCGGATCGCTGTAGGAATGATATATAGATAAACATCCCCTTTTGTTTCATTAACCAAAAAAGAAACATTTCCAAATAATTGAAACCAACACATTTAATATCAGGGAGATAAAAGCAAACCTTCAAACGCCGCTGATCTTGCACAACTTGTTTCGCACGGGCTCTAATTTCATCTGGATCAATCTTAGACTGGGGACGCACTACAAAATCCAATGGTGTTGCATCAGGCCTTGACGCATGCAGCCTTGAAGAGGGTTCTGACCTTGAAGCATCTTGAGCTGACATCAATCGCCTAGACTTTTGGTCACTGTAATTTTATAACCAACAATTACAACCATGAGGATACAGAAACACAATAATGATGTCAAACCAAGCGTTAGGTTACATCTTACCGAGAAATATCCAAATCAAAATCACCATCTCTAGATTCCATTGATGCAGCTCTATTTGCAGGCCTACAAATGAATATTAAAAAATTAAATAGAAACACGATATGAAAATGCACGATTGCAAAAGAAAACTGTAAGCAGACATGAAGGCATAATTGGCATAAAATTGACAACAAAGAGAACCTTTTGACAGTTGGCCTCCGCATGGGAAGCCTATCATCATTAACATTTCTCATATCCTCAAACCTTGTACTCTTATTGAAGATTGGTCTACTCTGCAATATGATTGAAATTATTTTGAAGAGTTAATACAACAAGATAGAAAAGAATTCCTTGAAGATATAAAAGAAACCTTCTTAAGACAACTGGAGAAGTGTTAAACTTGACAAACAAAAATTGATTAAAAAAGGTGAATTTATTACTGAAATCATAAGCACTGAAAATTCAGCAATCAGAAATTATACTCCAATCAGCAACATAGTAATGAATTAAATGATTAAAACGTAAAGGTCCCAAGGCACAATTGCTGATATAGATCCAAAGAGGAACGTCAGGAAATAGGGGAAACTTTCGAATATAAAGAATGGGAGCTTAAACCAGAATATTACCCATTTATCAACCAACTCCTTGGCAAGTTTCCTGTTAGATGTGGTTTCCTCATCGGATTTTGATAAAAACATAATGACCTGCCATTAAAAATTGAGAGGACAAAGAATCAAAAGCCACTCAAAGATGTTTCAGAATAGAAAGCTGTATGCAATTGTAGTGATAAGAGGTTCCTAACCTTTCCGAGACCACTTCTCTTTAGCTGCTCCCTTCTATCATGCTGCTCTAGATCAATTGGAAACTACATGAAAAAACAGCATTTCAGTTTTTCATGTAAGAATGTTGAGGCAGTGACCATTACGGCACAGCCCAAAATTGAAAGAAGGCCAGTTTGTACATCAGTCAAAATCTGCAAAATAGCTGCACGGATATTTATATTTGGTAAGCTTCCATCAGGAAGAGGTTCAAGCCAATTTTTCAACAAGGTTAAAACTCCATGATCTAAGAATTCTGGCTGGAGCTGCTTCCTGCATAAAGAGTATATTTTTTATTTTTTATTTTTGAAAAGAACATAAAGAGTAAATTTTAAAGATGAGAACTATAATTTCTATATAGAGACGAGGAAGTCTTGGTAATGTGGCAAGCAGCTTACTTTGAGAGAACCTCAGTAAGAAGTGGCAGCTTCTTGAGTTTATTAATTGCAGGCTTTCCTTGTCTGTTAAGCTCTGCATCTTCCTCAGCAGTTACCTCAAGCTCAGCCATAACACTTTCAACTAGCAGTGCAATTTCTGCAGGACTTTTCTCATTCTTCTTCCTTTTTTTACCCATCTTAAATAAATCCTTAATCTCCGGATCCTCATCATCTTCCTCTGCCTAAAAGATCACAAAAGTGGACCAAAGACGCTATATAATTTAATCTCTTCATAACATCAAATTTAAGCAACCAATGAATTTGTATTTCTATGTACACCAATCAATATATAGATCACAGGAAATCAGTTCCCTAATTTTTTTTATTGAAACAGAGACAAACACAAATGAAGAACATATAAGATGATTGAAAACCTGAGGGGCAGCACCGGGTGACCTTGCTTCATTGTCACTCCCATATCTGTCTACAGGATCTACGCCACTGTCATCTATGAAGTCATCATCATCCATAGTCCTAAGACCCTCTTGATCATTCTATTTCAGCGCAGATAGATGGTCGAAAGAGAAACTTAGTTAGCCTCTCACCATTTTTAATTAAATTCCAGCACAGAAATTTGATTACATAAACAAGATTATCTTAGAAAACGAAGCATACAAGAGCAAACAGAAACATAGACAAGTAAAACATAACATCAATGAGTAAAACGGATTAAGAAAACATTAAAATTTATTTATAGTGATAAATTTGAAGTGCAGCAAAAAGCCATTTTATACTAGTAGCAATAATAACGGCGAGTCTTGAAGCCAATATTTCAAAGGTAATTCTTAACCTTGTGAGCATATTATGATTAAAAGATTTCGAGTCTAACAGCAATTAATCTGTAAACCCAAAGGACCAAAACCCATCACATCATACTCACAAAAGGTTTTGCCTTGCAATTCCCATCTTAGTTTTTTTTTTTTTTTTGATAGGACCCATCTTAGTTTATGAAAAGACAAACAAGTATTTTGACGAGAAATAAGTTCTCCCATAAAATAACAAAGAGACAATAGCAACCAAAACAAACTGTCTTTTGCTTCACTATTTTATGACCAATTTTTACCTTAAACTAATGCAACCCGTTAACAATTTTACTAATCCCAAATTTCAATAAACGATATAGGAATTTAGCTTCAATCTGTAAACCTATTTCTCCTAACCACGAATTCAATAAAACAACCATCAATAATACAATTACTGAAAGAAAACAATACCTCAGGATTAACCCATTCCCACATCTCATTAACTTCCGCAGACTTTACCAACTTTTTAACAGTTCCTTTTTCACTACCACCCCCGTAATTTCTCTCCTTGTGCCTCTTCTCCTTCTTCCTCTTTTTTGCATCCGACTCCGATCCTTCCCTCTGAAAATTGGACTCGTCGTCTTCATCTAGCAACTCGGGGGCATCCATACTCTCTTTTCCCGCAGAACCTCCTTTCTTGACCAGTCTTTTTCTCGGCTTCCCAACCTTATCGGTATCATAAGCCGGCGTCTGCGATCGTTCACGCTGACCCCAATCTTCCATGTCATCCTCTAAGTCATCTAGATGATCTTGCCGCAGCTCCGGCGATCCGGGGTCTGATTGAAAGTCTTCGAAGTCCATAATCGCCTCTCCTTCCTCATCGCGATAACTATAAGAGACATGAAAGAAACAATAACCATAATCAAACCCTAGTTCTTTTTTAGAAAAATAAATACTTTTTTATCAAGGTTGAACCCTAAATACAAGAAGGAAGAGAGAGAAAAAAACTTACGAATCCATGGCGTTGGCACAAAATTGATTTTTGTTTCTGTGTTCGGATGATGAATGCAGAAACCTAAACAAAGTAATAGCTGAGCGCTGGGTAAAGAATTCTCGTTTTCAAGAATAACCCGCGAAGTTGGTCCGGTCCACCCGGTTTTTTTGGCTCTTTTTTGCGTAAAGTATATGTTTAATCATCTATTTTTATGTTTTTATTTTAAGGGTAAAGTATATAAATGATCACTGAACTTTTCAGATTATTGCATTTAGGTCCCCGATCACCAAACATTTAGTTCGTTTGCAATATATTCACGTAATGATCGTTCACTGCCATTAGGGTAAATTATATAAATGATCATTGAAATTTTCAAGCGCTTGCATTTAGGTCCCCAACTTTTAAAACTTGCAACATATTCATCAATTACATTCTAAACCGCAAAATTCAAAATGCTTCAATTCTATTCTAAACCTCAACTTCCAAAATACTTCAATTACATGCTCAACCCCAAATTCATAATTCATTCTCAAAATCTATCATAACAAACTAAACTTGAAACATCAACCATAAACCCTCAAAACATAACCGTTTCGAAAAAATTCACCAACTATAAGTGAATAATAAATGATTATGTTGGGTTTAGGGTTTAGGATTATGTTGGACTTAAATACACAATTCAATTTATAAAATAGTTGACTCAAACTTTTTTCGATTTGAGTTTATAAAATTTAAATCAAGTCGAATTGAATTAAATTTTCGAGTTTTTGTTTAAATTTAATTATAAATATTTATCATATTATAATATTATTTTATTATAATTCAATTCATTTTATAAAATAGTTGACTCGAAATTTTTTTGATTTGAGTTTATAAAATTTAAATCAAGACGAATTGAATTGAATTTTTGAGTTTATGTTTAAATTTAATTATAAATATTTATAATAATATAATATTATATTATTATAATTTAAATAGTTTTTAACCATATACAATACATATATTTCTTCATATTTTTTCTATATGTGATATACATATATCATACAGAGTCAATGGACTTAACTCAAACTTAAAAATTAATCCACTAATTACTAAAAATTTTGAGATATTCGATTTGTATTTTACAACTCGATTTTAACTTATTTTTTTAAGTTGAGTTTAAGAAATTACAACTCAAAGTTAATTAGTATCAAATTTTTTGAATCAATTCAAGTCAAAAAAATAATTTTTTCAAATCGAATTGAGTATTATTCACTTATAGTTGGTTAAATCTAACTTTTAAATCCTAAACCCAACATAATCGCTTATTGTTATGGACCCAAAATGAATTAAATATTATTGATTATGTTGGGTTAATTGGTGGGGAAATTTAGCATTTAGGGTTATGTTTTGAGAGTTTAGGGTTGTTGCTTCAAGTTCAGTTTGTTATGATAAATTTTGAGAATGGATAATGAATTTTGGGTTGGGCATGTAATTGAAGTATTTTTTGAATTTGAGGTTTAGAGTGTAATTGAAGCATTTTTGGAATTTTGGGTTTATAAATTAATTAATGACTGTGTTGTAAGTTTTAAAAGTTGGGGACCTAAATGTAAGTACCTGAAAAGTTCAATAACCATTTATATAATTTACCCTAACTGCAGTGAAAAGGCCATTATATCGAGACCATATTACAAACGAACTAAATATTTGGTGGTTGTATTGTAAATTTTAAAGTTGAGGGACCTAAATATAAATATCTAAAAAGTTCAGTTACCATTTATATACTTTACACTTATTTAATCACCTTATTGTTTTTTAATTATATCTAACGTTTTGATTGATTTTTTATTAGTTTTTATTATCATCTCATATAAATAAAAACAAAGCACGAATCAACGGATTTTTTTTTAAAAGTAGTTCTGTATGAATTAAATATAAAAATCTCATACAAAAACGACGTTGGAATGGATTAAGCGAATTTAGTAATTAAAAATTTTATGTTTTTTTTGAAATTTTGTATTTGAACATCATATATGAAAAGATATGAACCTTTAGTATCTAATGATAGAGAGTATTTGAATAAATATTTTATTTTTAAATTTAATATATTTTTAAAGTGACACTTTGTATAAATGAGATCATTTTTCTTACATAACGAAATCAAGCGCATTAATGGAATTAGCAGGCAATTAGAGCGTTGGCAATCCAGAAAGTAAGTCCCAACCCTTCTTTCATCGTGTGTATAAATATAATACATAAATTGAAAGCCAAAAGAGTTCCATGAAAAATAAAACATAAAGAAAAAAGATAAGAGGAAGAAGAAAACCAAAATAAAAATAAATTGGATGGTTTGCATTGCTTCTTTTTTTTTCTTCAGAGAAGTCGTCAACGCCTTTCTTCCTCATTTTCTTGTTCTTCTTCTCCTCTTGGCCCTTCTGCTTCAGTAATTCTGCAGGTTTCGACCTCACCGCCATCTCCTTTGGAGAAGGATACAACCCTCTCTTCGGTGATTTCAATCTCGTTCGCTCCCCTGACGGCAATAGTGTCCGCCTCCTCCTCGACGTTTATTCCGGTACGTACCCAAAAAAAACTTGGTTTAACACAAATCCATGCAAACCCCTTTTTTTAACTACAAGTTTTGTTTTGTATTGATGAAATTCAGGGTCTGGTTTCATTTCATCAAATATGTATGCGCAGGGACTTTTCAGTGCCAAAATCAAGTTGCCATCGGATGATACTGCCGGAGTTGTGGTTGCCTTCTACGTAAGTTTTCTGGGTTCTTAATCTTTAGTCATGTCTTTTATTCATTTAATTATTTTTTCATGGTGAATGGAGGCATCAAACGGTGACGTATTCGAGATAGAGCATGATGAATTAGACATCGAGTTTTTAGGAAATGTACAAGGACAGCCATGGAGATTTCAGACTAATTTGTAAGGAAATGGCAGCATAATCCGAGGCCGAGAGGAACGTTACAGCCTCTGGTTCGATCCATCAAAGGAATTCCATAGTTACAGCATTTGTGGACGGCCAAGAACATCATGTGAGTTGTCTTAAACACCTTGATTTCCTCCGTTTTGTCCTTAAACTTTAATTTCCTGTTTTCGATTCCATTAAGTTATCTTAGTAATAAAAAGAATCGTTATTCTTCATAGAATTTTAGTTCGAGCATTTAAAACTGCAGGATGTTTATGTTATTAATAAGTTAAGAACAATTCTAAATACATACTACGTTGTATATTTTGCCTCTTAATACGTTGAATTTCTGCTGCTTTTACGTCGATGAGGTTCCAATTAGGGAGGTGATTCATAGTGACGAAATGGGTGGCGATTACCCATCAAAGCCAATGTCTTTATACGCCACCATTTGGGATGCCTCGAGCTGGGCCACAGGCGGTGGCAAAATCAAAGTTAACTACGACTATGCACCGTTCACGGCAGAGTTTAGAGAGTTGGTCCTCGAGGGTTGCCCTATGGATCCAATCCAAGAATACCCCGACTTCACCATCTGCAAGGACAAAGATGCCTGGGTCAAAAGCCGAAGCTACGCCTTCTTAACGCCGGCGAGCCGCCATGCAGAAGTTCAGGCAGCATTATATGTACTACTCGTCCTGTTACGATGTATGGCGTTACCCCACGAAACTTCCCGGTTGTGTAATTGATCCGATCGAAAAGGAAAGGTTTAAATGAATCCGGAAGGTTGAAATTTACAGAAGCCAAAAGAAGCAAACCATGACCGGAAGAGAAAGCCACGGTCCGACGAACGGACCGATGCGTGAAGCAATAGATTTGTGTTCCGTACTTTTAAATTGACATTGTGTTAATTTGGTGCTCAAAATCTTTGTTCAAGCTTTATAGTTATTAGTACAAGTAAAGAAATAAATTAGGTTCAAAATCTAATGCTTGAAAATGCTAACCTTTTTCCCTGTTGGTGGGCACACTTCAGAGTGAAATGCAGTAGCCTGTAACAATGGAAAGCTGAGATTATTACAAATTTGAGTTTATGGGAAATGAGAAAAAGGGTAATTATTTGTTAAAATTAAAATTTTAAAAAGGTCCTACCGGGAGTCGAACCCAGGTCGCTGGATTCAAAGTCCAGAGTGCTAACCACTACACCATAGAACCAATACGTTAGATTGAGGTTTTATTAATTAATTAACATAAAATACAACACCAGATTAGCTTTTCAACTAACTGTAGTAACACCAACCTAGCCAAAACTTTGAAGGCCTTGGGCACTGGTACCATTTGGACGATTTTTCAATGGCTTAGGTCTAAGGACAGCTATTTATGAGTTTAGTCCAGTCAAGATCGGTTGGATGGGGAGCCAGCATGTTTTGAGAGGCAAAAGCAAAGCTGGATTTTGTTTGCAAATTCAAATGGTTTCATGATGAAATTTATTTGGAATCTAACCTCAGAATAATCGACCAATCACGTATATCTAACATTTAAAGAATTGAGTATACAAATGTGCAACCTTCTTCCCCTGTAAAAACACAAAATACAATGGGGGGTACAAAGTCAAGTATTCATGGGAACTGGAATGACCCTCCAATATCAGAATTTTGTGACGGGGGACTGATGGCCACCCAGAGTAGAGAAATAGAGATCGCAATAAGACCCGACCAAACGTATACGATAGTTGGCGTTTTTCCTCGTCTTCCCATAAGACCCTTTGCAAAGGGGTAGAGGTGTGCCAATACCCAGAAGCTGAAGAACACACCTCCTAGCAGATGACTCCATTCGGGATCGGTGCTGTAGACCGTTCGAAGAACTCCGTAAGCGATGGCGATCAAGTTAACAAATATGATGGTGAGTGGTGGTATCATGAGAGATGTCCACTTGAAGATGTAAAGATCAGCGAACTCATCATCCAAATCGTCTCCGGCTGATTTTGATGTAAGGGTGAATGATATTTCAATGCCAGCAATAACCTTTAATAGCCCCTGGAGTACTGCAGCGAGATGAGCACTGGTGCCTCCAATCAACCAAAACTGCTCATTCCTCCACCACTCTTCCAGTTCGATTCCAGACCACTTGATCTCTAGCACCGCTAGAGCGCAAAGGGTCAGTGTGATTGCCAAGAGGTAAACGAGGAAGGTGACGTTGAGTGTCTGAACTATGAATTGATTCGAAAAGAGAGAAAG